TTAACAAATAGTTTGTGTTTTTAACAGATATAATTCAAAACAATATTGATACATCTCTCTTTCCATTACAATTTCAAATAAATCACTGTTCCATTACATCAAATGACCTTCACTCAATCAATATGTCCATTTTATAATCAACAGTGTTTTTATTTACAACGTGAAAAAAAACCATTTTGTCAAACCCAACACAAAATAGAACTGATGTATAATCAAACTGGTGTTACTGTTTCACAAGGTCAGTAAAACCACTCTTAGGTCCCTTTGTCTCGTTTATGGGAAAACAATCACCCACACTATGCAACCCTTTATTACGCTGCAAATATAAATGCCCAAAATGGAAATAGAACACAACGCCACTGTTTTACAAAGAAATCGTTAACCTCAGTGAAACAAATCATGCATAGCCCTCGCACGCACTTCCTAACCTGTGGTTATTAATAGTAATAAATAATACTCTGGATACGGTAATCTCTGAAGAAAAAAAAATTGTTTGCTTTAGTGTTTTTTTGGGAAATGTAAGACACGTTACCCTAACCCTCACCCTCGGCATATTACCATATTACATATTTAATAATATACATGGGAAAATTACTCAGTTCTGATTGGTTAATATAAATGCAGTTTTCAGGTAATTCAGTGCAGAAGAGAGTTAGTTCTGTGCAGAAGATGGTTAATTCAGTGCAAAGAAAGAAACAAATCAGACATTCTGATTAGTCAAAAATCAAAGAAACTCACAGATAGCCAATCAAATGCGAGCCTTGGATGTCGCAACAAAATTTGAAAATTTGAAAATTTGCGAGCGAAACAATGGCCGGCGTTTTAAGTAGGTTTTCTTTCACCACCGCAGCTGAAAAACAGCTTAAACAATGAAAACACTGTAAAAGGCGCTGCTTTTTGGTTGTCGGTTTGGAAAAAGTGGTGTTTAGAGAAGGGAATTGCCGAGGAAATTGAAATTACGAGCCGACCCGGCTTAACACTTTGCTCGAGCGATCCAATGCCGAAACTAAAAACAAACATGGTTAAATCTCGGAAACGACGATTCCATTTCATCAAAAGTGATTCGGACACAGACTGAACAATTCCTTGAACTATTTAGCCGGACTTTGAACTTTTTTGCACCTTAAAGATGCGAAGATATCATTGCATATTATTGTTTTGATCGTACGCAGTTGTTTTGACCGAACGCACGGTTTGAATAAATTATTTTTAGCACTTGATGCGCGCGCTTTGCTTATGTTTAATTATGATAGACCATCTCGTATTTTTCCATGTATATTATTAACAGGTAATCACATGATTTTTCTCGTGCAATTTGGAATAAACAAGCACTTGTTAATTTTTTCAAAGACCACAAAAGAAATGATACGAGGTCTGGGACTCACCGTGACAGAACTGATGCTCGCGCGAATGACAGCAATCAGATATGCGGGAAAGAAAGACAAGCCTGCACGTCTCGTGGAAATGATGGTTCGCTTTGGAGTTGACTTCCTGACCATGACGCCCCTGGAAGCCGAACAGACAAAGGGGCTCAGACTGGCCAGCTCTTCCCACTGGGATCTCGTGATAGCCTTTGCTCCAGATGACGGGGAGGACAGCAGTTCGGATGAACTCTCCGTTGGGTGGGATAATGAAGAGGAGCTGGACCCACTTCCCTCCCAAAGAACCCCAGAGTACACTGAAACCGTGACCAGGCACATAGAAAATCTGCTGCAGTGCTACGTGTCTGTGCAGACAACGACTCAGGTAGGGTCTCTCCTGTGGTTAAGAGCGAGTCAGTCAGTCAGTACACGAGCTTAGAACCCATTACTCCAAATGACCATAATACACGCATTTAAAGATCCTCTTCATCATGCAGGACCTTGTTTTAGATGACCAACTAGATATATCTCACCCTTTTATAACAGGCACTGCAAGTCACAGCTGCGGAAGCGACACCGACACGAAGACCCAGTGGCAGCTCCTGCGTGGTCAGACGAAGAAAGCAGACAACTCCCAGACGTGCCAGGACCGGAGCATCCCAGGTGTCCGCAGAAGGGCCAGTAGCTGACGAGCAACGACCGAGGGACCAAGAAGCGCGACAGGAAGTACCACCAGACCCCCAGCAGCGTCTGCTAGCACTGCCGGGAATCATAGCCACACGCATACCCAACAGAGAGTCTTTGGACAGGCTGCAAAAGTTCCTGCAAGAAAACCAACCTTGCAACCCACCACAGGTGAACTGAAATTTAAAAAATAAAGAACTGCACATTGATTGACAAAATGATTTGATAGGTGCTAACTTCAATAAATATTAGATTGGCATTTGCTGGTGGCATACACAATTTTTCACTTGCAGCCTATTTCCTCTGAGAGCAAGTCATCTCGAGATGTATTTATAACAGGTCACGGTTAAAGTTGGGTCCAAATTTTTCTTACCTAGGCTGATTTTGGATTTCTTCTTATTATTACTGTGATGATTATATTTTCTAAGTTTTTTTTTTCCTTTTCATGGCCCTTATGGGGAATTGGATTAGTGATCTTGAAATTCCCCATTCTGAATAGTTGGGGCCAGGAGACAGAGGAAATTGAGACTCAATCTTTGTCAAAAACTTTTAACCTAAATTTAATTTTGACCTGTTAGAGGGGCAGGGGGAAATTGAGAATGAACCAATTGTAGGTTAAAAAATTTTCACCCGATTACCTATACAAATTGTGCAGTCATTATTTTACAGCAGTCGACGTCAGGTGTTTTGCCCAATCTTACGAAATAATTTCGTTTTTCTCCCTCCGAAGATGGTACAGTACTAGGTGTTTCGTTTGAGATTTATCAGCACTTGTCAAGGCACAATGTGGTCCTTTTTCCAGGTATGCCCAATTACCCTGACAACAGAGGCTTTTACCGGAAAACCGCATGCCGCATCGACACCAGAGTTTTCTTTTCCAGAGATGTTTCTCCTGCACGAACATGCGAGTCTTCTTGCGAAAGTTGTAATGTTTGAAATTATATTCTCAATCTAACAACAGTTATTGGGTAAAGGTACAGTATTCTTGTTTAAAGCATCTGGTTTTTTAATTTGAAACGAGTCTGAAACGTAGGTATGTAGTTCCAATTCCAGAATAGGTCGCACGCCAGTTAGCGCTTGAGGCCACACAATAAAGGCAATTATTGTGCAGTCAATATTTTACAGCAGTCGGGTGATCTGCCAAATTTTACAGAATAATTTCTTTTTTCGCCCACCGAAATGGTGTAGTAATTTGTTCTTTCTTTCAATCTACTACGCAGTTAACTAGGATGTCACGCAACGCTCCCCCAAAGACATGCCCGAAAAATGCTGGGTAGAATACTAGCATTCCCGGTGTTATTATTAACTATTACTTAATTATTAATTTATTTTTCTACTTCATTTTAAACTTTAATATTTATTTACATTTCTTATTTTGTTTATATTTATATTTTTTAATTTACTATATTTTCTATTTTAATATTTTTCATTTTAATATTTCGTATTTCATTATTGATTTATTATTTTTAGTTTTTTGGACCCTCGACACATTACCCTCATCCTCGACATGTAACCCTCGACCAAAAGGCAGACTAAAAAAAAATAACTTTAATCGCTATAGGCATGTTTCAAGGATTTCAAATTGTAATTAGACTAACTAAAATAAAACGTTATTGCTATCGTATCAATTGCGTGTTCTTTTCCTTTTAAAGAACTGAAGTTTGAAGTCACCATATTCAACATTCTTCTAGCTTCTACCCCTCCGCATCTGAAGAAATACTAATCAACGTTATCCACTTCACTGAGAGACACACCAAAATCACCAATCAAGACATCAATATTACCATGCACTCCAGAAAATCAATTCTACTCCACAACAGATCAACCTGGGTGAAAAAAGATGACGATGGTATGTTTGATGTAAAAACAAGAAGCTTAGAAGGCACAGAAGTATGCGAACTAGATGGACATTTTATCTCGAACAACCTTTCAAACAAATACAGAACAAACAACATCAGATTCTACAGGGATGACGGACTCGCCACTTTCAAGAACACAGAAAGGACAAGGAGAGAAATAACAAGGCACTTCAAGGAACATGGACTAAAAATAACAATTCAAAGCAACTTAAAATCACTTGACTACCTCAATATCACAATCAACTTGACAAACTGACTCTTCCAACCATACAGAAAACCAAACGACGAGCCGCTGTACATCAACACAAAATCCAACCACCCATAAGAACTTCACGTCGATTTAAGTGTGTCATTCAGAAATGGGTATTGTCGCTGGATTTTATGCGAAGGCGGCTCGATTTATTCCTTTAGTAATTCACTTCAGGGGTCACGTAGAACCACCGAGAGCATAATGGGGATTTGTTCATTCTGAAAAAGGTGAGATCTTCTGAAGAAGGACTCGAAGGAATGAAACAATACACAATAAAGCAACCCCATGCACCAACGTCTACAAGTGTATCCATTTCGTTTTTGAGTCAATGAACTCTAAAGAATGATTGAGGCCTTCAAGTTTTTTCGCTAAATGTTCTCAAGAATTATTTGTATTTATTAAAACAGAGCATTTTCAGAGCTTTAAAAGAAGACCTTGAACATGCATATTTGATTGTTGGCAAAAGTTCATCTTTTAATTCTTTTCATTGGTGTCTTAGTTTATGTACAGCCATCTTTAACCGACGTTCGAAATTTACAAAAGTCCGATCTAAGAAATTAACTTGCTTCGAGTCTGACAGCTCTTAACATGTTTACCAATCTGAATTCATCAGAAGCCTTTAAAAGCAACATTTAAGCTATTGTTTCCAGTTGAAAGAGTAAAATTTCAACAAATAAACTTTGATCATTTGGAGGGAAAACCAATCGAATAATTTTGTTTTGGAATGCTTGTCCAACAGAATATGACGCAGAGAGCGCGTGGAAGAAACGGAAACTGGATTTTCAATAAAGTTCACGGAAAACGCGAAAGGAAATTTGGCCTACTTTTCTTCTTATCCAATAGATCCAACAAAGAGATGAGACAAATATTAATATTACAGATAATCACAAAATACTCAAGAATTGTCAATTGCCGTCAAATGAGAGTTTACTATCACACACTACACCCAGGTCCTTAACAGAGTCGAAGGGTAAAAGTTCTTTACCCAGGAGGGTGAGACGAAAATCCTGAAGTTTCGATATCATTTACCGGCTTCCATATACTATCAACACATGTCATCTAAGGGTGTTCCAATTTCTATAGCGGTCTTACATTTCCAAGTGAAATCCGACGAGAGCTCCACTGACTCAGAAATGAACCTACACAATAGCATGAAAATATGAATACTTGACAACCCACGAATCATAGGTACACACTTAACTTGACATGAAGTTGTAATGCCACCCACTGTCATCAAGCAAATACCTGCAGCCATCAATAACAGATTACTAGCCTTATGATCCAATAAGTATTATCCAGAAAGTACAATCACAAAGAAGTTTCCAATTGACAATGCCTTGATGAAAACTTTGTATATCAATATTCTGTTATTTGTTAACATTGTCAGTGATCCAAACCATAAATTGAAAGCACTCCTTCCACCAGACCATGACAACTCACGCTATAACCTAAGAAGAGCGCCTTTTAAACATGCCAAAGTTTTGAAGGAACACAACAAGTAGTACTTTTGTATAAACGATGTCGAAACAATCCGGGCTATAGTTTTATCCCACTTATATTCATGCTTTATATTTTAACATATTTCAATATGAATATGTTATAGAGAATTTTTTAATATTATCTTAAAAATCAGTTTTCGATTTGTTTTCTAAGATTCATTCGTAATTTTCAAGTATTAAGTTTTTGTAAATTATTGCGTAATTCAGCCTTTTGGCTACGATGCAGTTTTAATAAAATATCTGTCTATCCATCTATCTATTTGACCACCATAGGTAACCACACCATAGCAGTTGTGAAGGGTAAAGAGGAATACTAGACCCCAAAGTCCTCACTTTCATACCTGATCAGTGATGTTAACAGGCTACCAGATGATCCCCACATGATTATTGATGGGGAAAAAAGTCGTGCTGCAATTTTACCTGGGAGGGGAGTTCAAGGTGAGACTTCACCTTAACCCTACAATAACTACAATTTTATTACTTTTTTGGGGGCAATTCCTTCGTGTAGCAGTGGACAAGAAAGGACTCTACCAATAATTTTATCTGGTGTAAAATTCACAAGAAACGACAGGTATTTTTTTCCCTTTTGTTTCCCAGACCCCACTACCTCTATGTGTATAGAGCTACATGTGTATCCAATTATTAAGGAAACGTAAAATAGTTTAAGATGGCGGGGAGTTTGATACAACAGAATGTATTACAGAATGTTTGAACACCGGAGACATCACTGAAGATAGGAGATTCAGCTTCCCGAGGCCTTTGAGGACATATTAAATTGCAGCATTTAGGTCACGTGGTCTGTCTCGACCAATCAGATTGCAGCATTTCACATTCCATTCTGACGACGTCATCAAGGGTTGCGTAGGGGGTCTGGGTCCGAGTCTGTCCAAGAGGGGAGGGGTGGGTGTGTAGATGGTTGTAGGGGCGGGAGGGGTGGGTGAGTAGATGGTTGTGATAGGGTGCATGGGCGAGGACCCCCCCAGGTATGGGAGGTCTCCCTTCCCTCCTATTGGTGGAAGAGGAATAGAAAGTGTATGGATGTGTCGGTGGGGTTAATAGGGTATGATGATGGCATCCATGTGGGACTTTTTTGGGACCTAAGAAGAAGATACGCAGTCGCAGTAAAGAAAAAAAGGGAATAGAGCACAGGAAGTAGGAATGGCTGTACCCTATTCCCCTTAGGAGATACTAGGAATAATTAAGAATGGAATGTAATTAAGTCACCACAGTTTTAAAGTAACATCTTAATTTTAAATAAATTTTAGACACGGCCTCCATGAAAAAGCAGATTTTTTTAATTTGTTTCTTTCATTTGAATTGTTATTATTAGATTTTATTATAGTTAGGAAGATAGATATACCTTTATAGATAATTAACAACTGATGGAAATACCGTGTATAAATAAAGTTATCTTATCTTATCTTGGAAGTCTCTGGGAATGTTTTGTAAAGATCCTTTATGTATCTACGATCTATATGGGAGACACACGCGCATGCGTAGTAAACTTGCGGGAGAGAGAAAAAAAATGTGGTGGCGAGCAAGGATTAGCGTACACAATCCAGGAGATGATCAGGGA